CCTGTGTCTCTCTCTCTCCCATCTCTCTCCCTCCCCCCTTTCCCTGTGTCTCTCCACCCTCCACCCTCTCCCCATGTCTCTCCCCTCTCCCCATCTCTCTCCCTCCCTCCCTCCTCCGCCATCTCTCTCCCTCCCCATCTCTCTCCCTCCCTCCCCCCATTTATCTAGAGAAGTCAGGGGCCGCCAGACTGGAGCGGCAGCTTCCCCGGTCCGGCCCTGCTCCTGTCACTGCTATGGCTGCTGATGGCTGAAGGAGGCGGTTCCCACAATTCCCAGCACAGGAACCGCGAGGGAGCATGGTACAGAGACAGGCTCCTCCTACATCAGCCATCAGCAGCCACAGCAGTGACAGGAGCAGGGCCAGACCGGGGAAGCTGCCACCCGGCCCGGCAGCTCCAGCCAGGAACGCGGCCGGCCCCCTCTGAGTGCCACCGGACCGGCCACCTGGTGGCACTTATGTGCGCAGCCCCCAGGTGCCGCGGGAAATTTCCCGGTATCCCGGTGGGCCAGTCCGGCTCCAGATGCTAGAGATGGAGTTAGGAGGAGAGAAGGTGATGAAAATGGGGTAAAAAGAAAAAAATGGAGCTGAGAGGCAGTGGCGTACTAAGGGGCGGAGCTGCAGACCAGAAATGATGGCCACCGGACCACCAGGGAGCCCACCGGACCACCAGGCAGCACCCACTGGCCCCTGCATCACTCCCCCTCCTCATCACCCCACTCTCTCTCACAATCACCCCCTCACAATCACCCCCCTCCCTCTCCTCATCACCCCCCTCTCACAATCACCCTCCCTTCCTCTCACAATCACCCCCCTCTCTCTCACAATCACCCCCCCTCCCTCTCATCCTCACCACCGAGCTCCCTCTCACTTCACCCCCACACCATACTTTTTATATAGATATATATATATTTATATTGGACATATTGGGCATTCATTTTTCTCCTGTTTGACCAGCTTCTGTGCTTTGATATTAAACAGTTGAGGTACTTAATGTGAGTTATGTATGAGTATGAAACAAAGCTTTTTAGCAAGCAAAATCACACTGATTTGCAAGGTATATTAATATATCACAGAGTGTCTCAGAAATAAAACTCTCAATATTATACAGTATAAGAGTATCACAGAACTCAATAGCAATAAATCTCACAGTAAGGTAGAGTATGTATGTGTGTATCACAGAGCTCCACAGCAATAAAACTCGCAGTAATGTGTAGTGTATATATGTGTATCACAGAAACAGACAGCAGTAAAATTGTGCACTGTGTATGAATCTGCCCCTGTCCTCACAATACATTAAGTGGACAGGATAGATCATGTTTTTATTACTCAATGGCAGACATTCATATGAGAATGAGAGAGATGGGGATGGGGCATCACATGTGAAGGGGACAAGCTGCAGAAACCGTGCCAGCCCAGGAAGGCTGCTGGTAAGGAAAATATTTAATGGGACAGCGCAGTGTGTGTTGGTAAACATGCAGTTTGTGTGTGTGTGGGTGTGTATGTGTCAGTGTGTGTATGCGTGCCAAAGTGCAGGTGCATGGGACAGTGTATATATGTGTGTATAATGTGCATTGTGTTTCAAAGATCAGGTTGTGGGTCAGTGAAAAGGACAAAGTGAAATGGACAAATTCAGTAGTTTTATATAATTTAGTGAATTTCTGAGAGTATTATACAATGTAAGTAAAAAAAATAAGTATATTATATTAACATTTTTATATATAATAATTTTAATAGTGTATACAAACTATTAGTTGTATAATATTTACATAAATATTAATATAATATACTGTAATACAAATGTACACAATACACTCCTACACTACACACTATAGCCCCTATACACAGCCCTATACACACTTGCTACATCCCCTATACCCACACTTTTCCTGGCAGGTGGGACAGGAATGGTAGTGTACATGGGGGCGGACCTTGTGGTCCCAGTTCATAAGCTGTGTAAGGGGCCCCAAATTTCTGATGGCAGCACTGTATGTGTGTGAATATATATATATATATATATATATATATATATATTTTTTTTTATATAAACAGACTGGGAAAGCATGTCCCCTTTCAAAGTGAGCATGTTGCTTCATTGCTCTTTTAGGGTAGACTATGTGCAGAGCCCTGCTGAAGAGGTCTAGCGTGAACAAAAGACCTTGTATTTGCTGTGTTTGTTTGCTTGTAGCTTGTCTCTGGTAGCTACATAAGCACAAAAGAGCCAGGAAAGTGTATTGTTCATGTGTTTGGATCCTGGTTGTGGGATTGCATGTGAGCGGAGAGTGAGCTGATTGTGGTGTGGTATTGCGTAAAATGTCCAGTTTCAGTTGTGCTCTGTTTGTGGTGTAATATGTGTGGCTAGGTGCTGTAGAGAGTGAGAAAGTATGTGTACATCCCCTGTAGTGTGTACAGGGGATGTAGCGAGGATCTGTAGTGTATATATGTATAGGTGATGTGTCTGTAGGGGTTGTAGACAGTGTGTGTTTTGGGAGCTGTGTGTGTGTTAGGGGAGCTGTGTGTGTGAGAGAGGGGTGCAGTATGTAGTTTGTGTGTCTGGGGGGTAGTGCACATGTGAGAGGGGCAGTGTGTGAGAGATGTAAAGTGTGTGTGTGTGTTAGGAGTGCAGTGTGTGTAAGGGGTGCTGTGTGTGTGAAATTTGTGCGGTGTGTGTGAAATTGGTGCTGTGTGTGTGTAAGAGGGGTGCAGTATGTTTGAGGGGTGCTGTGTGTGTGTGAGAGGGGTGTGAGAAGTGTGCTGTGTGTGAACATGTTTGGAAGTATTGTGTGTGGTGGGGAAAATGAATGCATATATATGCTTTTTTATTTTTTTTTATTTTTTTATTAACAAAAATAAGTTTTGTATCCCCCCTCCTTTCTTACCTTTGGACATTGCTTGTAATTCCCAATGATCCGGTGGTAAATGCTTTGGTGGTCCTAGTGAGGAGTGAAATCTAGCCTGTGGCTCCGCTAGAGTTAACTCTCACAAGATAAGAGCTTTGCCATGGTAATCGCGGCATCGCCCCGACCTTGCAAGAGGAATCCGGGGGAGCTGTTGGCCAGAGCTATCCGTGTCTCCTCTCCCTTCGTTGTCCGCTGCCGCATCTCACTGCCTGTGGGCCGGTGAGGTAGATCTTTAATCTCCCTACCAACCCTCATGGCACACAGCAGGGCAAGCACTTACATAGTGCTGGCTCTGCATGGACTGGCAGGGGAGCTAAAAGGATCTTCCCTGTCAGCCTCTGTCCATGGCCATAGCGGCTCACAATGCATAAATATATATTGGTGCTCAAAAGTTTGCATACCCTTGGAGAATTGGTAATATATGTACCATTTTTAAAGAAAACCTGAGTGAGCAAGCAAAACACATTTCTTTAATTTCTTATAAGATCAGGAGACTGGGATGGCCACTCGAGAACCTTCACCTTTTTCTGCTGTAACCACTAAAGAGTCATCTTGGCCTTGGCCTTTCATGCTGGAAAGCCCAAGAACGTCCCATGCGCAGCCTTCAGGCAGAAGAATAACATGCTGCATTCATCTTGCCTTCAAGATTCCCTGTGCCTTTAAAGCTTACACCCCCCCCAAACCATCAGTGAGCCACCACCATGCTTCACAGTGGGGATGGTATTATTTTCACTATACGTCTTGTGGACCCCTCTCCAAACATGCTTATGGATGTGACCATAAAACTCTATTTTGGTCTTGTTACTCCAAATTATAGTGTGCCAGAAGCTGTGAAGTGTGTCAAGGTGTTGTCGGGCATATTGTACATGGGCTTTTTTTGTGGCATTGGTAAAGTAAAGGCTTCTTTCTGGCAACTCGACCATGCAACTCATTTTTGTTCAAGTATCGTCGTATTGTGCTCCTTGAAACAAACACAACTTAATATTACAGAGCAGCCTGTATTTCTCCTGAGGTTACCTGTGGGTTTTCCTTTGTATTGCGAACAATTCTTCTGGCCGTTGTGACTGAAATCTTTCTTGGTCTACCTGATCTTGGCTTGGTATCAAGAATTCCCCCAAGTTTTCCACTTCCTAATAAGTGTTTGAACAGTACTGACTGGCCTTTCCAAGGCTCTGGATATCTTTTTGTATCCTTTACCATTGTTATAAAGTTCCATTACCTTCTTACTCAGATCTTTTGACAGTTCTTTTCTGCTCCCCATGGCTCAGCATCTAGCATGTTCAATGCATCCACGGGAGAGCTAACAAACTCATTGACTATTTATACACACTCAAAGGTATGTAAACTTTTGATCAGGGCCATTTGGGTGATTTCATCATTATGATTTAAAAAGGAGCCAAACAACTATGTCATACTAAATGGCTTCATATGATCACCATGGGTGTCCGCAGGAATTTTTGCAGGGGGGCATAATTGTAATGACATCCATGCTTGGTACCTTTTTGACAGTGTCATGAAAGGGAAGGGGCATAGCCATTATCACATAAAGCCAGGGTGAATAGCGTTTTCACAACTATGGTTTCAGGAATATATGTTTGTATTCCTGACACTATAGTGTTCCTTTAAGCAAATTAAAGGACCATTCTGGTCACCATAACAACTTCACCTAAATGAAAATGCTATGATGCCAGGAAGCCCCTGGGTGCTCGCTTTCCTTTAAGGGGTTAAATCGCTCTCAAATGGTTTAACCCCAAAGGCTTCCTCCAGCTCCAGGTCGCTCAGTGGTATTTGGCTTCTGAAACAGAGTGTCAGGAAGTGCAGATTGACGTCAGGCATGGGTGCCGCTGATTGGCTAGAGTGGACAGTTGACGCTCTAAGCCAATCGCTACTTCCCGGTTCATAAAATATTTTTACTTTTTTATGAATGGGGAGCTACTGATTGGCTTAGAGTGCCAGCTGACCGCTCTAGCCAATCAGCAACACCCCTACCCAACGGCACTCTGTGCTTCCTGACACTCAGTAAATAAAAGTGAACACATTAATACTGATATTTTTTTACCTTTGGAGATGAGAAGGTCCAGCGTTTCCCTGCCTGGCCCAGGTACCAAAGCCTTATGATATGGTGTCCAGAATAAAGTGGAGGGTTCACTTCATTTGTCCTTCCTGCTCCAATCTCCTTTTCCTCTCCTTCATTTGACAGTCTTTTTTTTTCTTCTGACACTGTTTTCTATCCTTGGCCCCTTCTGCTCTTTTACCTTTCTGCTCTTTCTCCTACTTTACCTTTGTGCTCCTTCTGATTCTTTCTGCTCCTTTACCTTTCTGCTCCTTGCTGTCCCTTTCTGCTCCTTGCTGCCCCTTCCTGCTCCTTGCAGGCCCTTCCTGATCATTCTCCTACTTTACCTTTGTGCTCCTTCTGACCCTTCCAGCTCATTTCTGACCCTTTCTGCTCCTTCTACTTTACCTTTGTGCTGCTTTACCTTCCAGCTCCTTGCTGACCCTTCCAGTTCATTTCTGTTCCTTTGTGCTCCTTCTCCTACTTTACCTTTTGTGTTCCTTGCTGTCCCTTCCAGCTCCTTGCTGCCCCTTTCTGCTCCTTGATGTCCCTTCCTGCTCATTTCTGTTCCTTCTCCTTTTCTTACCTTACCTTCCTGCTCCTTGCTGACTCTTCATGTAGGCTGTCTCCCCCATCCCTCACTTCTATAGGCGTGCGCACGGGGTGTGTCGGGTGTGCCTGGGCACACCCTAATCCCCGCGGCACGCCATGGATTGAGATCGGCAGGGGAGATCTCTGGATCTCCCCGGTCGGCTCATGCAGAGCCGACGCTATCCGAGCGGCGGCTCTGGTCTAAGCCTCCATGGGCCGGTGGGGAGATCAAAGTTCTACCTCACCGGTCCACAGCAGCATGGAGGGAGGCAGCAGAGAACCCGGGCTAGAGTTCACTCTCCACTGAACCACCAGGGAAGGCAGCAGGACTGGGATATTAACTAGTCTGCCCCCACCTCCACCCAAACATACAGCACACACAGCCCACAAACAGCACCCACACACACACACAGCACCCACACACATACATCACCCTCGCACACACAGCACCCACACACATACAACGCCCACACACACCCAGCACACTAACAGCATCCTCACAAAACACACAAAGTTCCACACACACAAATACCTGCATAGCACCCACACACAAACAGCATACTCATACAAACAGCACTCCTGACAAACACACAACACTCCGCATACAAACAGCACACTAACAGGTCTCAACAAACACGCATAATACAAACACCTCTCACATACACACACATTACCACACAGCACACTGCTACCAGTTCCTACACAAACGCACTCTCATTACTACAGTACACTAACAGCACCTCACACACACACACACACACACCACAAGCAGTGTGTGTGTATACATATATATATAATATATATATATATACATATATATATATATATATATATATATATATATACACACACACACACATACATATACACATGGCGTGTTTGTGCTTTAGGGTGCACACCCTAATGCAATAGGCTGCGCACGCCTATGCTCACTTCCCTAATCTATAGGCTGCCCCCCCATGCCTCACTCCCCTAATCTATAGGCTGCTGCCCCCCCAAATCTATAGGCTGCTACCCCCTCCCAAAATCTATAGGCTGCTGCCCCCCCACATCTATAGGCTGCTGCCCCCCCCCCAAATCTATAGGCTGCTGCCCCCAAATCTAGAGGCTGCTGCCCCCTCAAAATCTAGAGGCTGCTGCCCCCAAAAATCTATAGGCTGATGCCCCCAAAAATCTGTAGGCTGCTGCCCCCAAAAATCTATAGGCTGCCCGCCCCCAAAAATCTATAGGCTGCTGCTCCCCCCCAAAATCTATAGGCTGCTGCCCCCAAAACCTATAGGCTGCTGCCCCCAATCTATAGGCCGCTGCCCCCCAAATCTATAGGCTGCCCCCAAATATAGGCTGCTGCCCCCCCAAATCTATAGGCTGCTGCCCCCCCCCCAAATCTATAGGCTATCTCAAACCCTCCCGCCATCCCTCACTTACCTGATCTGTAGGCTGTCTCTGGCTGCATGTGTTGTTCCCCTGCGGTTTCAATCAGCAGAGAGAAGCAGGGATATCCCTGTCTCTCTCCATACACAGCGCCGGCGCTGGTATTGCAGTTCATTTTAAATCTCAAACGAAAAAAGCAGCACAAGCTGAAAAATCCAGGGGGGGGGGGCAAGTGCCTCCCCTTGCCCCCCCCCCCCATGCGGACGCCCATGATGATCACTATTGTAGCGGAGTAGAGGTATAATCCTTGATATCTCCACTGGTAGTCGTAGTCACCATACAAATCCAAGGTAGCGTAATAATTCCAATCCCATTTCACAACAAATGGATGACACACAGTTTGGGAGTCAACTGACCTTTTATTGAATCACAGCCGGTTTCATACACATCCCCATGCAAGGGGTTTCTTTAATTACATTCCAGGGGGTTTGTGTGGAAAACTTTGTGTACAATACATTTCCCATAATCCTTTTCTGTATTAGAGAGATAATTGCGTAAGAGTACACCTTTAATTACTTTATCTCTCCGTACAGAAAATCACACAATATTGTTTAAAAATACATAATTCGTAAAATATGTGTCTGAACTCAACCCTCAACCGTTCACTGAATAGATGGGATCTGAGCACAAAAACTGTCTAATTACCGCTCAGATCCGTTTGTTAGAATAGAAAAGCCATTCGAATGAAGTTCTGGACCAGTCTGCCACAAGGCGCGAGCCCCAAAATACTTCCAGGCAATTGCAGGCTTTGACCGGTCTTCTTTCGGGAGTTCACACAAATAAGCAAATGAAAATACACATTAAAAAACAAGAGAGGAAATATTAGAAGTGGGCAAAGCCCATATCAAAATTCCAACAGGGTTACAGAGATATCAAGGGGCATAACCCCACACGATAATTTAGAGTAAAAGGAAAGAGCTAGAGTGAAATGGTTGTTCCATTAGAGATGGAAAAATTGGACATCCATTACACCTAAAAGATATCTCATAAAAATAGTAGAATAATTATTGGGTATAACCTTTATTAAGCCGCATATAGATAAAAAAACAAAGAACTATAAAGTGTGGTGATAGTGAAATACTTGTGAAAAAAACAAGTGAAATAAAAACTGGGTAGATGCAGTGTGGATATCCTCAGATAGTAATAGGGTGACTAAAGTCTCTCAGGCTTAGATGTGCACTAAAAGGTATATTATTGACCATAAATTATCGCACAGTCACTCCCTATATCCACATAAATAGTCATAGACTCTCATATATTTTTTCAACATACAGAGTAGAATTAAATCAATAGTAACCATAGAATATATATCTATCGTATAAAGTTATCTAAACTGTTGAAAAATAAAGAAAAGAGAAAAGAGAGTCTGGAGGGAGATTGAGTGAAAATATATATAATTATCTTTGCTACTCAGTTGGAAGTTTAGACACAAAATGTCTTAATCAGTAGATATATAGCAGCCTTTATATAGATATATACAATGTATAATATCCAAGTGTATCCTTATGGGAATATTGGTAGGGTTAAATGGATGAGCATAAATAGTATTTGGTTAAATGGAAACCATACTAAAAAAGGTGTCTCAATACATCAGTTAAACCATAGATGTATGTATAAATATAAATAACATGCTCAATACGTGGTTAGGATTAAACCTGGGAGGTTAATGTGCAGTTGTCTCTTAATTATCTCTTAGTAATGAGATGGGTTAAAAAATTCAAACCTCAAATTCATAATTGCAGCTGCCAGGCAGAAAAATACATCCCACGAACAAAAACCACTTAGATAATACACCCCATCCACAACAGAATTCCCTAAGAGTGAACTCCTATATAGAAGGTATACACTGGTGCTTTAGAACCACATAAATTGCTATATCTATATCTGGATAGAGATTTCACGTCTGCATACACTATAAGAGATTTCTGTATAAACAGTGAGCTGCTGCTTCAGGGCAGCCTAGCGCTAAAGGTCACTGACTAGAGAATCTCACAGAAAACGCTATTGCTAGCTCCTACTGCTGCCACTAACTATTCTTAACAAGATGGTTCCAGCTGAGAAGACCCGGTCAAACTCAAACTAAGTCCCTCAGTATATAATCGGCATCCCCCAGTATTAAAACGACTAACGCTCGACGCACGTTTCGGCGCGATTACGCGCCTTTATCAAGAGCTTCTGGCACGGCTGAGAGAGGGATGGTAGTTAAATACCGGGTACAGTCCCGCCCGTGTATTCACACAGCCCAATCAGCTTACTTGTCGGTGAAGTCCCGCCCATGTATTTACATGCTCCAATCGGCTTGATTGTCGATAGGCTAGGGGCGGGGTTTCACCCCGATCACATGCACCTCATTCAAGAGGTGTGTCTCACAAAGTAACTCATATATGTGTATACAACATTAGCTATCACCATGGTGACGCAACAAATTCAACACAGTGCCGGTTGTCCGTCCACATAAGTTGCTCGATGTAAAAGCCCCAATAGATACATAAATTAGAAACATATTATCCGTGTATTAAACATAAACTTAACATTAGTAGTCTACCATTAGATTACAAAAAGAGAGTATATAATACAGGATAATTACTATTGTCAAATTTAAATGTAGACAAGAGATCCTAAATTATCTCTCATTTCTATCTATCTCTCATTGTGGGTCTATGGGTGCGGTAGATGTGTTGCTTGTAAGTATATTCTACGGGACTCTAAAAAAGTCCAGGATAGTGCTGGACAACAGAGCTTTGAGATTACCCATTTTTTCAATTGTAACACCGCGGGGCTGGTATACCTCCTTACCTGTAGCTGTAAAATGCTATATGTGGGCAAAACCTTCAGACCATTCAAGGAACGGATCAAAGAACATGTAAGATCTCCAAAAAATCGTATGGAAACTCCAATCTCGAGACACTTAAAAAATTGTCATGCAAGTGACTCCAGTGCAATCAGGTTTTGTGGATTGGAATGGGTTAAACGCGATCAGAGGCGAGGAGATTTTGATAAACTTTTACGCCAGAAAGAATGTAGGTGGATATACAAACTAAAATCTCTTAGCCCCAATGGCTTGAATGAAGGTTTTTCTTTCTCCCCCTACATTTAATCCTTAATATAGCGTTTTCCCATAATGTCTAGTCCCTAAGAATAGTTTGGATGGAATTATTAATGATGACTATAAAGTCTGGGAATATATATAAATATCTGGTCCCCAAATGTACTGGGGTTTTTAACACTGACAACATCATCTGCGAATACACACAAATATATATATATATATAATTAAAATCCCTCAAT